AAATTAAATGACAAAAATTAAAAGCATTTGTTTTTTTAGTTTGGTATGAACCTACGGATATAAAAAAAGCAATGAAAATATTTGAAGCAAAGTTACAATGGCAAAATGTTTTGCATTTTATATCACCAAACAGAAATGAGCTATTAGTCATTGGAAAATACCTTGGCATACCAATACCTGATAATAAATTAACTATGGACTTAGAAGAAATAAAAGCAATTGCAGAGCAAGTAGCTAAATTTATTCCAGTGATTATATGTACATTAGGATCACATGGAGTCTTGGTAAATATTTAATTATAAACAAATTTTGAATAATGTAAATATAAAATTTAATAATTAAAATAATTTGTTATAGGTTGTTCGTAAAGCCTTAGGAAATGATCCTTTTTATGATAAAGAAGGTAAATTAATTGTCCATAGTATGCCCATCACTTCTCGTTTATATCCTCCTTTATCTTATGTTTCTGATAATCCAAATGAAACATTTAATGTAAGTGGTTGTGGTGATTGTCTTACTTCTGGAATAATTTATGGAATTCATAAAAATTTAGATGAAATTAGCTGTCTTTCTTTAGCTTTAAAGGCTGCAGCACTTTCTTTAACTTCATTAGATGCAGTTCCTGCTTCACTTTCATTATTATGTAATGATACAAAATATTAATAAATAGTTTGTAATATAATATAAATAATAAATATAAAATAAATAATAAATATAAAAATTAACAATTATATTTTTATATAAATTCATTAGTTTTCTTTCCTCTTTCCCCATTTCATAACAAATTCAGCAATGTTAAATTTTCGTTTACAACCTTCATAATTCATATATCTAATTTTTCCAAATATATCTCTTTCTGGCCAACCATGATCATGGACACCACAGATAGACCACATACAACCTAAAAAAAACCAATAAAACATATTTTTTAATGTAAAATAATCTTGTAATGTAAGTAAAATATAAAAATTAATATAAAATGTAATAAATATAAAACTAACCTACATAACCATTAGGATCACAACCATCTATACTATACTTATTATTTAAATAATTGGCCCATTTTAAAGCAATTTCAGGAGTTTCAGTCCATTCTAATATTTTCTTTGCCCAATACATTCTTAAAAACCCATGCATCTTTCCTATTGTTACCATTTGATTTTGACATGCATTCCACAAATCATCATGAGTTTCTGAATTTTCCAAATGATTTAAAAAATATATATATTTTCTTTTATCTTTCCTATATATAATAAAATCTTAATAATAATATGTATAATATAATTTATAATAAATAAAATGAATTACCGATGCTTATTTAATGTTTCTATAGCCCAAGGATAGGCACCTTCAATCAGATCATATTTTTCATTATAAAAGCAAAAATTATCACTAAGTTCTTTTCTAATAATAGCTTCTTCCATAAAGGACTCAACTGACTTTTTATATAATTTTTTATACTCTTTTATTTCCAAAATACAACGTTGTACTGAGATCATGCCAAAATGAAACCAGGGTGATAAATTGCTGATGGCATTTGATAAAGGATTATTACGTTCATCTCCATATTTTTCTAAACGATTCTGTAAAAAATTTTCAAGTTCCTTAATACCATTTCTATATCCTGGCTTAGCCCATGTAATTTCTTTTACTGACTTATCTACTTCTATATTTTGTAAAGCTATTTTCCAATTATTTTTTTCAAACTTTTCTTTTGTTATATATGGATGTTTTATAACAGGTGGAAATTCTGTTAAAAATTCCTCTAGTTTTGTATTTATTTTATTTCTAATTGTTTTAGCAGCAAATTCTTGCTTTGATGATGCATACCAACAAGGCACAATATTATGAGCATCTACCTTTAAAAAATATAGATATATTAAATACTATTAATTATATAATTGTAATAATTAGAATAATATTTACTTGACAAATAGGAACATCTTTAGGAAGATTTTTTTTCACATTATCAATCCACAACATAGGTAATTTTAATGGATAAAAATCTGTAATAACAGCTCCCATATTATATATTTTTATAAATTTAAGAATACTTATATTTGGTTCACCATGTAAAAGATGAAAATTTATATTTAATTTTTTACATTCTTTTTCAATTTCTTCTAATCCTTTCAGAAGAAATTTATAATATCTTATAGAAGCATTAAGAAAATTTGACATTATGCAAAAACATATATGAAGTGGTACATTATTTTTTAAAGCTGTTTTTTGAGCAAAAAGTAATGCCCAATTATCTAAAAATATTTAGAATTCTTTTTAATATTGAAAATACTATTACATGTAGCATATATACCTTGTATCCTAATATCGCGAAACATCCAATATAAAATACCATTACAATTTTCCTTGATATCATTTAAATTACTTAAACGTTTAATACGTTTTTTATTAAACTTAAATGTCATGATAGATTCAGATGTCTAAAATCCATTGAAAAATAATAAAATGTTTAAAAAAAATATGTAATTAATTAAAAAAGAATAATAATATAAAAATTTACATTTTTTCTATTATCTTCAAATTTTTTTAAAAGATCAAGAACTTTCCTACGTTTAAGTGGATTCAATTCTTCCATATTTTCATAAAATTTTATTTATATTATATGATATTAAAGAATAATTTTTTTGTAAATTTCTTATAACAACTTTCAAAGTAAATAATTATTAATTCACACTACGCAACACAAATTTCTCACATTATATATTCGTAAAGCACATTCGATATAATGCGTTGATTTAGTATTAAAAACCCGCCATATCACAATTTATACCAAGTTTGTGATTGGTTATTTCCTTAAATCAGATAAGTTATGTTCATTAAATTTTATGTATATGACGAAATGCAAATTAAAATTAAAAATCATAATTCACATTATTATATGATATTCATTAAACATTAAAATGCAAATTACATAAAATATTAAATTATTAAAATGCAAATTACATAAAACATTAGAATATTAAAATGCAACAAGAAAATGCAAATGAAAAATTTTTCAATATATGTATAATTCATAATTTATTTTTTTTATAACATATACAATACATTTTTTATATATCATTAAATAACTATATATAACTATCTGCTCATATCTTTCCTATGTCATGTAAACATACTATGCATTAATTTATTTGATGTAATTAAAATAAAATTTATTACAATATATTACAATATATAATATTTATATACATTATGCAACACAATATATCAATTATAACAAAATAAGAAACATACATTCAAAGTAGCGTAAAATTTTGTTAATGAAATAAAATAAATAGGTTACTTATTAATTGTAACATTATCTTCAATCTTGTATATACATATCTATCCACTGACAAATTAAAGTTAAACCTAGCTTTACTTCGTTGTAAAGATCGTGAATATATAAAATGTATAGAAACCGAGAATTCACAGAAGTAAACAGCATCTCGACATGTACGCACACAACGTAGAAACGCGATGCATTTCAGCAGCAGGAACGAAAACTAGGTAGAGAGGGATTGACCAATAGAAAGAAACTTTATAAGATCACGTGGTTCACGACGCAATGTAACCACGAGCAGGATGAAACTACCGTCAACAGAGACGAATGAAACGTCGAGAGAGAAGGTTAAGTTTGTTCTCATTAAATTGAAAGAGTAAGAAAGAACGATAGGTAAAGAAGGATAAATGTATATACCGGTGTAAGAAAAAGATGAAGGATTGAAAACGATAGAAACTTTTCGTGAGAAGACAAAGGATATCAAGCAAGGAAAGAAAGATAAAGAAAAGAAGAGAAAGATAAAGAAAGGGTGAGAATAGGAAAAGAAGAGAGGGACGGAACGAACGAGAACAAGCGGACAGACTGGCAGACGGACTTGTCCGATTCACGACTTGCGTTCTCGTGTCTGCGTTTCAGCTACTTACTATCCTCTGCCGCTGTTCACCAGGCACCAGAAGCGCGCGACGTAGCAGTAGATTCAGTTCGGTGTAGAAAAAGAGAAAAAACATATATATGTATATATATTAATACATATATACATACACATACGTATACACATAGTATATATATATATATATATATA